AAGAAAGTTTAATGAGCAAAAGGATTAAGACAAGAAACAAAAAAGGATAAAAAGAAAGAAAGAAAAAACAAAAGATAAAAAGTAACAAAAAAAAAAAGTAACAAAAAGAAAAAAAAGTTTAATGAGCAAAAAGGATAAAGTAAGCAAGAACAAAAAAAAAAAAAAGTAACAAAAAAAGAAAGAAAGTTTAATGAGCAAAAAGGATAAAGTAAGCAGACAAGAAACAAAAAAGTAACAAAAAAGAAAAAAAAAGTTTAATGAGCAAAAGGATAAAGTAAAAAGACAAGAAACAAAAAGTAACAAGAAAAAAAAAAAAGAAAGAAAGTTTAATGAGCAAAAAAGGATAAAGTAAGCAGACAAGAAACAAAAAACAAAAGAAAAAAGTTTAACAAAAAGTAAAGAAAGAAAGTAACAAAAGAAAGAAAGAAAGTTTAATGAGCAGAAGGATAGTAAGCAGACAAAAACAAAAAAAACAAAAGAAAGAAAGAAAGTTTAATGAGCAAAAAAAAGGATACAAGAACTAAAAGACAAGAAACAAAAAAAGTAACAAAAAAAAAGTAACAAAAAAGAAAGTTTAATGAAAAAAGGATAAAAAGCAAACAAGAAACAAAAAGTAACAAAAAAGAAAAAGAAAGTTTAATGAGCAAAAAAAGGATAAAGTAAGCAAACAGGATAAAAAACAAAAAAGTAACAAAAAAAAGAAAGTTTAAAAAAGGAAAAAAAGAAAGTTTAAAAAGCAAAAAGAAAGAAAGTACAAAAAGGATAAGACAAGAAACAAAAAGTAACAAAAAGAAAAAAAGAAAGTTTAATGAGCAAAAAGGATAAAGTAAGCAGACAAGAAAGTATAAAAAAAAGTAACAAAAAAGAAAGAAAGAAAGTTTAATGAGCAAAAGGATAAAAAACTAAAAAGCAGAAAAAGAAAAGAAGCAAAAAGGATAAAAGGAAAAAAGAAACAAAAAAAAAGAAAAGTTTAATGAGCAAAAAAGGATAAAGTAAAAAGACAAGAAACAAAAATTAACAAAAAAAAAGAAAAGAAAGTTTAATGAGCAAAAGGATAAAGTAAGCAGACAAGAAACAAAAAATTAACAAAAAAAAAAGAAAGAAAGTTTAATGAGCAAAAAGGATAAATAAGCAGACAAGAAAAAGTAAAAAAAAAAAGAAAGAAAGTTTAATGAATAAAAAGGATAAAGTAAGCAGACAAGAAACAAAAAAGTAACAAAAAAAAGAAAAGAAAAGTTTTAATGAGCAAAAAAGGATAAAGTAAAGCAGACAAGAAACAAAAAGTAACAAAAAGAAAGAAAGAAAGTTTAATGAGCAAAAAAAGGATAAAGTAAGCAGACAAGAAACAAAAAGTAACAAAAAAAAAAAGAAAGTTTAATGAGCAAAAAATAAAGTAAGCAGACAAGAAACAAAAAGTAACAAAAAAAGAAAGAAAGTTTAATGAGCAAAAAAGGATAAAAAACAAAAAGCAAAAAGACAGAAAGTTTAAACAAAAAAAAAGTAACAAAAAAAAAAAAAGAAAAGTTTAATGAGCAAAAAGGATAAAGTAAGCAGACAAGAAACAAAAAGTAACAAAAAAAAAAGAAAAGAAAGTTTAATGAGCAAAAAGGATAAAGGAAGCAGACAAGAAACAAAAAAAAAAGAAAAGAAAGTTTAATGAGCAAAAAGGATAAAAGACAAGAAACAAAAAGTAACAAAAAAAGAAAAAAAAGAAAGAACGAGCAAAAGGATAAATAAAGAAAGAAACAAAATAACAGAAAAGAAGGGCGAACGAAATGATAAATAAATAAAGTACGAAATAAAGGAAGTTTAATGTGTAAAATAGATAAAATAAGCAAACAACAAAGAAATAGAAGAAAAACTCAAAACAAAAAAAAAAGTCTGTCTCTGAGATGAGTTATTTGGCTATTTACATTATTTATATTATTCGAACTGTTACCCTCATCTTCATTACTATATTCACTTTTCGGCCGTTGTACGCTCCGACCTTCTTCAGGTGATTGAAATTTTCGATTCTAACCCTTTATTTCGTCCATCGGGGTAGACTGTTCTAGTTCTACGTGCCTTGCTTCTTCCGGATGACTCAGTTATTTCCCTTTATCTCATCTCTCCAAGTTTTTTGCTTCACCATTGCTGTAGCCTGGTATTGAACTCACAACTCTGGGTCTAGTCATTGGATCTAAACAACGCCTTTATCCATATTTTTAGATGAAAATTTCCACTGTTATTTTAATTCTCATCTTATTCCATCTTATTGTTATTTTGTCTTACGTCCACATCACGGTGAAACAGTACTCCCGTATGTTCACTGAAGTTAAGCAATGTCGAGCCTGGCCAGAACCCAGATGGACAACCGCTTGGAAATACCAAGAGCTGTAAGCTTGAATGTGCGAGTTGTATAATGGATAATGGAGCGGAATAGTTAATTGGAGACACGAGTTTCAATTCCAGTTGGCTTCATTACATTCACTTACGCACAAATACCATTGAGAAAGGTCTGAAGCCACCTCTTCCCCTCCCACCTAGGGGTTAATTAGTAAGAATTGTATCTCGAGACAGTTATCGTAAAAATGTCTTACAATCTACATTTTTTGGCTTTAAATAAGCTTCAAAGTGTCGAAAAGCCGGAGAAAAAGAATTAATCAAATCATACTTTTTTATTATTATCTAATACTTTCGCCCCGGCCCCTCGTCCTCCGGCGTCTTGCTCTCGGGGTTGAGGTGTCTACTCGGTCCTAACCGAACTTAAGGGACTGGCCATAGGTCCCTTGAGCATCCGTAGATTATTCGACCGGTCCGCTGATTTAATCCTGCTTCCTGCCCACGTTGCGATTTTTTTGATCCAGAAAGCAGAAGTGATGTCCGTCCATTCACGGTCGACTGAACATGTAGACACGGCTGGGGAGTCTGCGCTAAGAAATTTAGAATGCAGCAAAAAAATTAATATCTGCAAAAATCCGGACAAACATCGATTCAATGGTTGAATTGGTAATGTCTTTTATATAGCAGAAAAGAATAGTAGAGAAGAGAAACGGGTTACAGAAAAGAAAAAAACTCATACACTGGATTCTAGACAAGAAGATAGTGTATGTAATTATTTTGTTAAATCGTTTCAAAATAATATGTGACTCTTGCGATGGAGGGATAAAGATTTCTGTGCGGGGCTTAAAGTTATAGTGGCGTTCCTCCTCCCAACGCTCGCCCGGGTCAAGTCTCTCTTCAAGATTTTTCTCCCGTCTCAACGCTCGCCCGTTTGCCTTTTTCAGCATAACTACGCGTTTATATAGATAAACCAGGCTGATTATACTGAACCTCGGCCCTATTACTTCGCACGCGATTGTCACGGGGTTCTGTCTGCTTCAACCAAAATCATGTGAATTCCAAATTTCCTCCTAGCTTACTCAGCTCTATTTCAATTTTTAATCGATAAAAATTATTTCGACCATTTTCATTGTCATCTGAAGACCCATATTCAATGGATACAACTTCTGCCCTAGATCAGATTTCCTAATCAGTAAGCAAAATGCTATGATCTATTTTCGCTGTTCAACTCTTCTCCAATTTCACTAAAAAAATATACGTATGTGTGTGTGTGTTTCCCAGACTCACTCTCTCTCTCTCGCTCTCTCTCTCTCTCTCTCTCTCTCTGTCACAATTAGGTCGAGCCATAAATAAGTCACTTTCCCACCGCCATAACGTAACTTCCCTTTTCTATAAATATTTTCATTGTAATTGTTCTGATGAACTTTCTGCTATGGTACCTAGACCTTATGTGTGAATTTAAGCACAGTATTAGATTGGTGGCAAGGTCTCATCATTTTGCAGTTGAAATGTCTAGATATAACCGTAAGCTCTATGCTAACAGTTTCTTCCCTCGCACTTCTGGTTTCTTGCTTCCCAATAAACACTGGCCTTCAAAAATGTAAATGCAATGTCAATCGTTATCTTCTGTCTTTTTAAATCTTGTTCTCACATTTTCAAGGACTCAGTAATCTCTTGTGTCCTAGTGGCTTTATTGCCTTGCTTGGGGTGACAAAAAAATTAAATATTAAATATCTACAAGAATGTTTTTCAGAGATACTTTCATTCTTTAACATAATAAATGAATTTTATTTTTTGTGGGTAAAATAAGGACGGGCTTGACATTTATTTTTTAGAACAATGAACAGTCATAGCAAAACAGACTTGACATTTCTAACTCAAAACAAACCAGAACAGCGACATATCTGAAAATATGACCTCAAAGTTCATCTAGCAAAGAGAAATAGTTTATATAAACAAAATGTCGCTCACGAGACATATTTTGTCCATCCGCTATATGCGTGTAATTACGTGAGGAGGTGTTTACACAAATTTTTAGCGTATGCGATCGAGTTCGCATATGTTGGCCTATTTGCATGGGTGTGTGGGAAGAACATTTCAAAGGGAAACACATCCAATTAGATATACGTTTCAAATGAAGATGAAGACAAGGTTATTTGTAAGTCCGCAGTGCGCATGTGTGCGCGCAATCGCACGCCAGTAATGTTTTCATTTGGACGAACCTTTGAAGTTCGTTTTATGCCTTGCCCACTCTCCATACCAAAGCTGGTACATTTCGCATAAAAACGGCGGGAAAAGCCTCGGCTGAAAATGAAAAGAGGCTATTTTTTTTATCTGAATTTCAGCCGAAATATTATTCACTTCATGACTTTTGTCGTACCTTTGATGTTAAATAATCATATATATATATATATATATATATATAGGCACACACGCACACACACACACACATATATATATATATATAGAGAGAGAGAGAGAGAGACAGACAGACAGACAGACAGAGAGGTGAAAACATAATTATATATTTAATATATGAGGATTTCTATGTTTTGCCTCCTGTTTTCTTATGGTAATGTCTGACGCCAGAAAGGAATAATTCTAGTAAGGCAGTAGAACACAATAAACTATATTTTGCCATTTTACAAATATATATATCAACAAGAACAATAATTATTTTAATTAGATAGATAGATAGATAGATAGATAGATAGATAGATAGATAGGAGCAATATTGATATAGTAATCAATTCTGCATAATCTCTATTAGTTTCCCTCCTTAGTTAATCATTACAACACATGGTCTGATGATCGTTTACGGCTTGTAACAGACATTAACTGTTTATATCTATAATAGCTCTATCTTCGATATTAAACACTGCCCCGCGTAGATATTGCAAATACAGCAACACACACACACACACACACACACACACACATATATATATATATATATATATATATATATATATATATATACATATAGATAAGATAACTAGACTCGTTTCGAAAAACCCTATAAATATTCCCCCCCCTTAGGTTTTTTGTTTTTTTGTTTTTTATTTTGTCACGTGGTATGATTTTAGCTATCACCTATAAATATGTGTTTCTCTTTGCCTCGTTAGCCAAACTTTCCCTGACGATCCGTTTAGGTGAAAACTAGGTAGGTTTGTCTGGCTCACTAGGTGTATCTATCTATCTATCTATCTATCTATCTATATATATATATATATATATATAGAGAGAGAGAGAGAGAGAGGGGGGGGCACCTGAGTGACGACATTCCGTTTCATAGTTAAGCGCAATCGCCTGGCCAGGCGTATTGGATCGTAGTTCAACTATTTATTTATACTAGTTATTGGAGTATTATGGGTAAAAGGGACAGTTATTTCCAGTTTATTGTGTTATTTCAACGGCTGTTGTATAGACGGAAGCGATTATATTTTAAATAATTCTAATGCCAATGAGCAGAAAGAATTATGTTCTAGAATGCTGTTATTTTACAGTTATTGTTGTTTGTTATCTTTTAATTCATTTTTTATTATTTATTGATTACTTTAGGATAGTTTGTATTTGTTCATTAACTGTTCGGTTCTGTTTATTATTTAGTTGCGGTTAGTCATTTATTCGAACAGTTTGTTCATTTGTTTTTATTATTTATTTACTTAATTTATTTTATTTACTTATTTATTTACTTACTATATTTTTTTATTTATTTTATTTATTATTTTATTTGTTTCTTTTATTTTATTTACTTATTTTATTTTATCTAATATTTTATTTACTGATTTATTTTATTTTATTTTATTATTCTATTTACTTATTTTATTTATTTATTTATTCCTTTTTATTTTATTTATGTTATTATTTTATTTAATTATTTCATTTGCTTATTTTATTTTATTTATTATTTTATTTATTATTTTATTTATTTTATTTTTTCTATTTTATTTACTTAATTTATTTTATTTATTTATTTCATTTTATTTTACTATGTTAATTATTATTTTATTTATCATTTTTTATTTACTTATTCTATTTATTTATTTTATTTTATTCCTTTATTTCATTTTATTTTTTATGTTAATTATTATTTTATTTATTATTCTATTTTATTTATTTGTTTTATTTACTAATTTTATTTTTTTTTTTATTTATTATTTTTTATTATATTTATTTACTTATCTTATTTTTATTTTGGTGGAAATGGTTATCTTATTTAATAATTTATTTGAAATTATTGGCTTTGTTTATATGCGTTCTATATAATACATACATCTGCATTTTTCTTAGTGATGTTTTCAAAATATTCGGTTTTAATGTTTCGATTTTTAAGTAATGGTATATGAATTTCTTTTCGTGTCTGTTTTTTTTTTTTTTTAGATAAGTTCTGATCTTTTATTTAATAATTTGTGTTATTCTGTGAAGGTGTTTATTGGTATTTTCTTCTCCCGACAAAGTTTACAGTTTGGGGGTTATTGGAGTCACATAGAAAACCTAACAACTAACGACTTTACATTCACACATCTTCCAACCACCCGGCCACAATAATCAAACAAATCCCACAATCAATTAACCGTGGGTCATTTGAATATTCTTCGAATATAACCGGCGATGCCAATAATGGTTATGAAGTCGTCAAATATAGTGGATATTCGGCAACAATCAAACATTACAAAAAAGCCAACAGGAAAAGAAATATTACATAGTTTAACATACCAAAGAACAAAAACGTAAAACAAATGTAGGAAAAATGTTCATAAACACATCTACATACACATCCCCAATCAAACACTATCCACAAAACTTTTAACAGAAACACATTAAAAAGCAGTTAAAGTTGCTCCGAGAATATGGCACAAATATTAAAAAAACACCAAAGTAAAATATCAAACAAATCTGTGAGCGATATCAATCAAACATGCCTGCAACTGCAGCGTAAAGTATTAATCAAACGGCAATTACCTGCAAAATACTATTATATGCCAAGCCACTATAAAAACTAAGAAATAAAATATGTACATAGGTGTAACTGAAAGATCATGGAAACATAAATACGACGCACACAAAACATCTTTTAACAATAGTAAATACACGAATTGAACAAACCTTTCTATATAAGGGAACTCAAAACAACAAAAAAGTCAGCAAAATATCATGAAAAAATAGTCCACGGCAATAACTACAAAACCATAACATTGTATGGAGGAGAAAAATAACTAACACATATTCACACTTGGACTTAGGTCGGGGCTTTGACTGAATTATTCTAACATTAATATGCTTTGATATAAACCAGTCCATTGTAGCTGTGGTCGTTATTCTGTTGGCAAAAAAAACTGCACTTCATCATTTCAGTGTTGGAACTGTGTTCTTTTGTTTGAAGATAACGCCATCTTTCCTCCATAAATGATTTCTAGAATTACGTCTAAACAACTTAATTTTGGTTTCGTTTGTCCATAATACTCTTTCCCAATACGATTTTTCCTTATCCTTATGTTTACGAACGAATTTCAACCTGACATATCTGTCTTTTCAATAGTAGTGGAGTTTTTGGAGGGGAGCGTGACTTTAGATTGTTCCTATGAATTTCATTGCTTATTACCTGCTTACCGACACAGATTCCTGATGAAAGCAAATCATCCTGCAACTCTTGACGATTAACTACAGTTCTTTAGCATAAGGGCTCGATACAAAGTACAAAATAATATTATAATATTTTTATTTAAAAATGTTTCATCACGACACGGAAATTTCTGATTCGGAACCTTAAATTTGTTCCATTATCAAGCGATATTAAGTAACTTTTTTAAGGAAATGATTTACATTTTACTTTTTAAAGCGGAGTCGTATGATATTGAAGACTTTAAGTAGGAGGTGGAACAAGATTTCAAAATTTCATGGGTATGTACGTATTTGACAAATCTAAAAGATCTGAACTAAAACAGAAAAACGAAAAAGCGTAGATGACATGTTAGATGTGTGCATGTTATTCAAACTTGTATAGATGAGACGTCATGTATAGATGTGTCACCATTGCTCCCGGTTTATTCAAAAGATACAATGGAATAAAACAGAGAGATATATGTATCCAGCAATGGGTTAATTTTGGGATTTTTTTTTTTTAAATTATTTTAGTATGTACTTTAGGACTGCCTTAAAGGGGCCTCGAGTATAATTAAATCATTTTTATAAATATTTAATTATTTTGATCTAAAATACAATACTTACTATATTCAATGGTTCAATTAGACATGTTAATGTTACAATTAAAAGTCAAGGAATTAAGTAGATATTATATGTACCATTATATGTAATCAAATAATAGATAAATAATTATAATATATTTAATATATATAAAAAATATTTTTAGATAAAAATATTATATATATATTTGAGCAGCAATCTATCATTTATGCAAGTTTCATTAAAAACGACTGACATGTTGTTGTGGTTAAGTTTTTTCTATATATATAATTTTGCATGTGTTCTTATAGTTTATTTCTTTTCAGGATGAATTATAGAAAAATTGCACGAATGTTTCCTATATCCAAGCGCTTTCTCTTATACTTTTTTAATTCCTATAACTCAAAATGTATACTTAAAACAATCCATATATTCAGTTAAAAGATAAGAAACTCATCCTCGATAATGGCCTTGTCAGGCGCTTTTAACGAAACATATATATATATATATATATATATATATATATATATATATATATATATAAAGACATATTTTATGTTTAACGTTGTTATTTTATAGATACAAGTATTTAAGCAAATGCTCTGTTTATTAAATACTTGTATCTATAAAATAACAACGTTAAACATAAAATATGTCTTTAATAAATAAATTGTCGGACCTTGTCCATTTCTTAATATATGACGTCATTTGTTTACATTCGATACGCCAGAGCAGTTATGAATGTACGAGATTCATGGAAAGTTGGAGTTTATAAGCAGTAAAATTCGACCTTGTCTACCGAACGCTTCTTTGTAGCCTAAGCGGTAAGGCACGTCAGCGTATATGACGGTTCCGTATAGGATGCAGGTTCGAATTTTCTATGAAAATTTATCGGACATTCAGGCCGGTAAATGTTATTTAATACTGTTTATCATAAACAGAGCATTTGCTTAAATACTTGTATCTATAAAATAACAACGTTAAACATAAAATATGTCTTTAATAAATAAATTGTCGGACCTTGTCCATTTCTTAATATATATATATATATATATATATATATATATATAATATAATATAATATAAAAGGCCCAAACACGAATATTCCATGGTTATAATTTATTACATTGGAATCGTAATCACGATCCAAAACATCAGACCTACAAATTCAAAAAGAAATCGGAAAATATTGATTAATCCTTTTGAATTTGTAGGTCTGATGATTTGGATGTAATAAATTATAACCATGGAATATTAGTGTTTGAGCCTTTTGTATTATATTCTTACTCTGACCTGGACATTGAGTTCTACCTGGATTCTATCCTCTTGGGAATTATATATATATATATATATATATATATATATATATATATATATATATATATGTGTGTGTGTGTGTGTGTGTGTGTGTGTGTGTGTGTGTGTGTGTGTGTGTGTGAGTGTTATGAATGAAAAAAGACAACTATTTTAAGACATTTTTATGTTTATACATTCTTTTTATAGATACAAATATTTAAGTAAATGCTCTGTTTTATAATAAACAGTATTAAACAACATTTACCGCCCTGAAGGTCCGAGAAATCTTCGCAGAA